AGTTATTCAAATATGAGGAAACACTAACTTCTAATATGCATGGAAAAACCCTGTATCTTTTGAAATAAAGTGTTTTCTGTATCGCAAATAATATTCGATAAATAGGCTTCCGGGATATATGTCTCAAAGAGATAGATAGATAGATAGATAGATAGATAGATAGATAGATAGATAGATAGATAGATAGATAGATAGATAGATAGATAAGAACGCCGCTATCAACCAAATTAGAATAGACAGCTAAAACATATTTAGATAGATTGATAGATAGGAACATTGAACAAACAGCTAAGATATACTCATCTACATGGAGAACTAGGAATTTCGACTGATATAAAGATAAATCGTCGTCTAAATTACGCAAAAACGAAAATAACATTGACATCTTATTTAAAAGATATATTTATCAAATTTACACAGAATTATCTTGAATGGCTAACGAGTGAAGGTATTCAACAAAATCACCATTCGCTTCAACCACAGTCTCCAGAAAACTTCCGAATCTCCTGCAACTCTTCTGGGCGGTCTCCTTTTTAAGTTGGTGAATGATGCCATAATCCTTGGCTTCAGTTCATTTTTGGTGTTACAAGGAGTTTTGTTGGTTTCTCGCTCAACTGTGCCCCATACATAATAATCAAGAGGGTTGCAGTCTGGGGAGTTATGTGGCCAGATGCAATGGTTTGTTTACGTCTAGGATACGAAACTGATCAGATATGGGATATTGAGAAATATATTTGAGTTAGGAAATGTACTTTCCGTAAGAAGGGGAAATAGAGTCATGCTGAACTTTCTCCTACGAAAGTTCGATACCTGCCGAACACTTTCTTTATTAAACATTTTCGTACGCTTTCGCCGATAGACATAATATACACTTTTAATATATATATATATATATATATATATATATATATATATATTAAAAGTGTGTATATTATGTCTATCGGCGAAAGCGCATAAAAATGTTTAAAAAATGAATGGAAAATTTTCTTTTCATTTTTATTTGGAAGTAAAGTTTGATGATCCGCAGTTCTTTAAAAGGGCTGTGGTGAAATAATTTATTACATTGAACCTTAAAGTCGTCTGTTTTTATTTAAATTATTTGCTCTGGATTTACATTGAGCTCTCTGGATTTTATCCTCCTTAGGTTTACCCATACGGATTACCTATTTTTTTATAAACTATATATATATATATATATATATATATATATATGAATAAAAAGAAAGAACAGTAAGATATATAATCCGGTTTTCTTATATATATTTTTTATTTTTACAAAATAGTGCTCAATGTAAATTTACAGAGCATTAATATTATAAATTAAGTGATTTAAAACATGTTTTTTCGCTACACATTTCTAACCATGTTTCATGAATGGAAGCTAAAAGCTTCGAATTTAATTTTGTAATTAAATTAAAGACATTAGTTCCATTTCATCCTCAAGCGAATTTTGGAGTAACTTATTTTTAAAGCTACTGGGATATAATGGCACGGCAAAAATCCTAATTTACATATATATGTACATTTCATTGAATACGAGAGACAAGTTGCTTTGATTAACTACTTACACAAATTCTCATGTGATCTATTTTTTTTCTTTTCGGATGATAAATTAGATAAAAACTGTCCAATTGTTCTTTTTAAGCCGAGCGCTTTCGTTTATACATTTAGCCATTTTAAGGGTTGAAATATATTAACTGTTAGCAAGAAATATTTTGTTGTATGTTTGTATTTATATAATATTTTCATTTTCAAAACACGGTCAAGATATTGTGTCCATTAATGAATTAAAATCAAAATTTTGTAAATAATTATATAGGCCATACTACAACATGTTCGAAACGACGACTCACACTACACCTTTCTGACCATAGTTCAATTAGTTGACATTTAAATACTCATGGAGACCTACCGGACTCTATTCGTAAAATATTTGTTGATAACACAAATATAATAGCATCATCTACATGCAAAAAAGACTAAAAAATAACGGAAGCCTTATTAATAAAATCAAAAAAGCAAAACTCAGTAATATCAATTATGAACATGGACACTCTGACTAATCCTCACGGTTTTATTATCCGTTAAACAAAGGAACACTCTTCACCAAACCAATATGATTTTGGATTACTTCTATTACAGATAAAAAAAACAAGGGTTAAAAAAATTAACATAAGAAAAATATTAATTCCTTTAAGTAATATGTGGCGATAACCATCCTTCGCCTAATGAAGGCCAGAAAACCAGAAACCCGCGTAGCAAAAATATAGAAAATAAAATATAATATATAAAAACATCTACATTATAACCCAAAAGGTTTGTGGCGTCTTCTCTCTTTAAAATCTACAATTTTCTCTCGTTGTACCAGCTATAATCTTTCCATTATATATATATATATATATATATATATATATATATATATATATATATATATTTATATATGCATGTTTCATTAAAAACGACAGACAAGGTACTACGGTTAAGCTTTTTATTTAAATTTTCTTATCTTATTTTTAAAGCTTCCAAAAATAATAAAAAAGAAAAAACTAACTCTTAACAATATTAACTACGAACAAGGCCACAATGTCCTAACCGTATTCGGAAATTAAAACCAACTCAACAACACACTAAAACATACACTTAACGCACACACTAAATTAAGCTGAAAAATTGAATCGTCCTTAATAATAGCTAAAGGTATAGCCGAAAGCTCTCGGTACTATAAAACATTTGGAGAGTTTTTACATACTCTTTGTCCAGAAAAGAAAGCTCTTGTTCAAACACAAGAAAAATTAAATAAAAAGATTAACCGTAGTACCTTGTCTGTAGTTTAATGAAACATGCATAAACGAAGGAATGCTGCCTAAATACCCACACACACACATATATATATATATGTTAGGGAGCACATTAATCAGAAAAGAGTTTAATGTAAAAATAGAGTAATATAATAATGAGTTATATTTTATTTCATATTTAATATTAACACGTTTTTCTTTACATTTTTCCCTATTTCCTCTCCCTTTTCATTTCGTCTGGATAAATTAACTCCATTTATTAAAAAACGTGGATCTGAAGAGATGAATATTTTTGTATAATCATGAAATAAATTATAACCGAACGGATTTTTAAGGATCGTCTTGCCTCATTATTATTATTATTATTATTATTATTATTATATATATTAATTTAATAATTTTAATAAATGTATTGTTGGTATTTTTACTATGAAAATGTACTACTGGTATTTTTACTATAAAATGCACTACTGGTATTTTTACTATAAAAATGTACTTTTATACTTTCAGTGTTTTCTTTCTGTTTGGGGGATTCACTATATGACCACATCTTGGTCACTTACAGGTGCTACTACCCGGGTCAGAGTGGTCCTGGGAAGAAGAGCAGTTAAAAAGTGGTACCAAACTCCAATCTTCAGATCAGAGGCCTTGCTGCCGGCTGTAGTTTATTGTTATACCCAGGACAGTACAGCTGACAATCTCAGTAGCTCGATCGATTTTGTCACCATACATGCCAACCATTTGAGAATCTAGATCTGACGAGGCTATTTAAGAACATGACAGGATAATGGACTCACTTGTCTGAGCACAATTCTCCTTTCCAAATAGCATTTGGTAGGTTGAATCGTGTTACACGGTATCAGCAGCTGGAAGCAACCGTTGATATGATCTGTTAGGTGAAATCGATTAATGCCTTTCCTCGAGGATATTAAAGTAAAGTGAGCGAAGGACATTCTAGGTTTGAAATTGAACTCACCTCCGCGGTTCCATGTTCTGTGCTATTAAGCATTTGGAGAAATTTACCAATTTTAACAACCGAATGTATATTCGTTATCTGTTGAATAATTCCACATGACATTTATTGATGATTCAGGTTAAGTTTTCAGAGATTCCATTGAATAATTCACCTAAAAATATCTCACAGTAATGGCGAGCAGTTACTACTTTTGCCCGCATATGTATACAAATACTAATATTCAGTTTCTCTGTATATATATATATATATATATATATATATATATATATATATATATATATATATATATATGTATATATATATATATATATATATATATATATATATATATATATATAAGGTATCTCATAATTTTTGATAAAAAGTGCACAATATCAGGGATAGAATGTATATATATATATATATATATATATATATATATAAGTTATGTTATATTTTTGAATAAAAGTGCACAATATCATGGATAGAGTGTATACAAATATAAAGGCGGACGCGTTTTATATTTTTATATCTAAAATGATCTCTCCGAAAATAACATTTTTATCATATATATATATATATATATATATATATATATATATATATATATATATATATATATATATATATTTATCAAATTATATATGTATATATTTTAGATATAAAAAAAATCGATTCTCCCGTCGGGTTCGACGTATGGTCAAGCAGATCAGTTTCCAGGAAACCGACAGCCTGACACCGGAATATGAGATTCGATTATAGTGGTGAAGGTTTCGTGCAGGACCATCCACACTTTTTGAAGGGCCGAATACAGAAACCTGGTGGACTACGTGCCACAAGGTTCCCAAACAACCCCCTCAGCTTTCCTCTGCCTCCAGCTATGGGTAAAATAGCAGGATAGACTGGGTTCTATAGCCTTGGATGGCAACTGGTCAAGGAGAAGGACAACTCTGAATTTTTAAATATATATATATATATATATATATATATATATATATATATATATATATAAATTGACCAAATTACATATGTATATATTTTTAAATATATATATATATATGTGTGTGTGTGTGTGTGTGTGTGTATGTAAGCAAATATATGGATATAGATCCGACAGTATGAAGAAAAATATACTGAAAAAACATGTTGAATTGTATATGGTCTATGTTAATCATTTTTATGAATATGTCCTGAAGATGGTCTATTAGACCGAAACGTCCGACGTTGACATTAAACATTAAAACAGCATAATCGCATATTAGGATTTTTTTTTTTTTTTCAGTATATTTTTCTTCATACATATATATATATATATATATATATATATATATATATATAAATATATATATATATTTAAAATAATTGATTTAAAATTTTTTTTCGCTACACAATTCTAACAACGTTTCAAAAATGGAAGCTAAAAGCCCCGAATATAATTTTGTAATTAAATTAAAGACATTAGTTCCATTTCATCCTCAAGCGATTTTGGAGTAACTTTTGAAATTACTGGGTTTTAAATACACA